CAGTGTTTGTCCCTTTGTGTCTGGAGGATTTCTCTGGAGGGCATTCAATTTTCTGTGTACCTTTCTTAAGGCTTAAGCCTTAGAAGTTGGTCTAAGTCCTAGGTCTGGAGTTCCGCCACCTGCTCTTAACCACCCTGTGGCGGAAAGGCACAGCAGCAGAGTTGTTGGTATTTCACATTCCTATTATAAGAACATTCCTCACAATGGAACTGTACATTCTCTTTAAATTCTACATTTTGGTTGTTAGCATAACTCTTCAGGTTTGGAGATGGTGTCTGTGTTCTTAGTGTTCTTAGGGTCTTGGGGCTGAAGGAGCCTGACTTAGCCTTTCAGGATTTTACCCTCAGCTGTGGAGTTGAGTTGTCCCCAGAAAAGAGCACTGTGTAGTTGTTCATAGGTTTTCCTGACATCCTTTCTTTAATGCAGAGCCTGATCTCTCGGTGTCTCTGTCTGTCTCTCCCCCTCCCCTCCCCCTCTCTCTGTTCTTATCCCTCTACCCCTTCCTCTCCTAGAGTCCTTAAAGGAGGAGCCTCCCCCCCACCACCACCACACCACCTCCGCCGCCCAGGGGGAGGGGAGGGAGCTATCAGGGAAGAGATGCAACAAATAATCAGACTCAAGTGTCAGAGTATCTTTTTGTTTCGATTTTGTTGTTTCCATTTTCCATCTATAGTCTAGTGATGTCCAGAATTGCTGCTTTACATGTATCTAGAGATGGTTTGGGTCATGGTGAGGGGGCCCTGCCACACTGCCTGGTGCATTTGGAGAGGCAAGGGTGGGAACAATGGGCAGAGCGCCTTTTTGTTCACATGCCCCTGTTTACCTATTCACAATCGCAGCCGCTTTGCTGTGATGGGGGGTGGGGGATGGAGGGGCGGGATGTCACGTGTATATCCACCTCATCTTCCCCGCCCCCCCCCCTTCCCCTGTACGGGCTGAGAAGGAGCCTAATGCCTGCTTTCTAGACCTTCGGTCATTCAGTGGAAGATGTAGTTGGCGTGTGTCGGGATGACAGAGGGCCACGATGGAAGCTAGCACGTGTGGCTGATTACCGGGGCTGCCATGTGCTTGCAAGCCTCCAGTGTCTCCTCCAGAGCAGCGGCTGTTCCTGCATGGCCGCCTCCTGCCCGTCCTCGTCAGAACCGCTGCTTCTTAAGAATCATTGGAGAGCAAGCCTGTCCCTCCCTTGCTTGTGCATGCACATCCTGTTTCGTGAAAACGTATTTTTCTTTTGAGCAAAATTGAAAGAAAGAAAGAAAGAAAGAAAGGAGAGCAAGAAAGGAAAGGGGTGGGGGGAAGAAGGTTGCCATCCAGTGGAGGAAGGAGTAATTTCCAGCTTCATTCAGGGTAAAAAAAAAAAAAAAAAAAAAAAAAAAGGCAAGCTTACACACACACTCACACACACCACACACACACAGGCACACACACATACACAACTCTTACACACACATGCTTAACTCTTTTAACTTGGCTGAGCCCTTTTAGCACCATATGGGGTTCTTTGTGACATCCGGAGCGAAATGAGTGCAGTGTGCCTTTAAGGAAAGAGGTACCTCACCAAACTTCCCTGTAGTTGTGCCTCACCATTTAGGTAGGGAAGGAAAGCGTTAATTTCTTATTTGTACACTTTTTTTCCCCCGACTTCCTTCCTATTCACTTCATTAAATCTAGAGGCAGTTCAGCATGGGAGCCGTCTGTATGTTGAATTAGGGCTCGCACTCTTGCGCAACACGTCACCAGTCGGAAACTGGGGGTTTGCTCCTGAGATTTATTTCATTATTGTGCTGGTAAAAGGTTTGGAAGGGAATTCTTTCTGGGGGTAATACTTTTTAGCATTGTGTAGCAAGTTTTTTTTTGTTTTTGTTTTTGTTTGGTTTCTTTTCTTCTCTTTTTTTTTTTTTTTGTACCCACCCCCTGCCCAGCTAAGTTGTCCGTTGAGCTAGCTTAAATGATATTTTTTAAATCAGAGAAGCCCCCATAATTTCCCTTACATGCAGGAAAATTCTTAAGTCTAACTCTTGAAGTACGAAAAGCATTGGGAAATATGGAGGGAATTGATTTCCATTAGAAAAAGCCCCTTGGAAACCACAGAACCTGAAACCTTGCATATAGATGTGTTCCGGGTCTTTGGGGAGGAGGGAAGATTTTTGTAGCTCTCTGCATTCCTGCATAAAAGCCTTAATTTAAGGGGAATAATGGTCAGTACTTTGTGTGATCTCCTGTAACTCCAGAACCTAAATTTAATAAGAATCTGCAGTATTAGCAGTTGTAATAAAAATCTGTTTGTCTAGTTCTGTTTGCAATTTAATTTGTTTTCCCCTTCTTAGGTACTCAAAGATTTAAAACTCCAAATATCACAAGCTTAAGCTTTGTTCCCTTTTTCCCAGAATTAAGGGTGGGGGTAGTTAGAGCAGAAATACTCCTTTCACAAACTTCCCCCCTCCTCACGGATCCCACTGAAAAGAAAAACAATGAAAAATTTTGCAGTATGAAAACCGAAAGTGGAGTGTCACAGTTATTCGGGATTTTTCTTTACAGAGAAAAATAACACTGTATTAAAATACAGGAACCTGAGAACATGCACAATGTTTTTACTTACATGCATCTAGTGGGGGGGGGGGTGAGGACTGTTTTTCTCCTGTGTTAAAAATCGTTTTAGACTGCTCCAAAACCATGCAGCATATCTTTTCTGAAAAAAAAAAAAAAGACGATTAAGATGAAGCATAAAATACAACAAAAAGCATATCTTGCTTTAATCTCTTAAAATACATTTGAATATTCATTTGTTTTCTTATTGGCTTAATTGTTAAAATGCAAGCAAGAATCAGAAACCACCTGAGCTAAAAATCTCTAATTCTGCCGCCTGGAATAATAAGGGGGGAACAATATGATAAGTAGTTGTCAATATTAAAACAGGGCCGGAGGAGGAAGGCTTGGGGCCTGGTCGTAGGTAGAATGAAACAGCAGATTTGAGTATCCACAATCCTTCCAGTATTAAATTTTCAGTAAAATAAAATTACTTGTATATGAAAACATAGCCTTTCCCAGCTCTCTTTTTTTTCCTGATCAGCTGATGAAGAGACTAGCAGCTCGCTGCTTTGCCGGCTTGTTAATTTTATCCCCACTAACTGTGATTTCCGATAGCCGGCCTGCTGATAGTGGTAAGGTAAATATCCTTTTTCGTTGCCGTCTTGAAGATTCAGTAGAAACTACATCCCAGGCATGTGTAGGTGTGTAACACATCAAAAGCCGGTGTTCTCCGTATTTCTGTGTGCAACTGGGTGCTGGAGGAGAGCAGTACCATTAACTGTTGACAGGCTTGCATGCTGTATTTATGATTAGCATGTTCAGCCTCCAAGAGACTCGGGACAATTTCTTTCTCTTCTCTTTGCTTAGCTGCAGTGTGTTTAGCTGTATAGTGGGTGTCCTGCTTTTAAGCAAATGAATATTAATGAAATAATGGGGAGCTTTTTTTTTTTTCCTTCTTTTTCTTCATAACTCATCAGGTCTCGCCTCCTTCATAGTGGTTATCTGAACACTGTAGGATGGTGACGGAAATTGTCTTTTGATTATTAAGGCCTGGGCTCAGGTTGTCCCTTAGGATTCTGTCTGTGTGCATGTTGCTTCTGTGGATTAGCACATTGGAGAGTGCATTGGAAACATTTTTTTTTTTTTTTTTTTTTTTTTTTTGGTTCCCACTGGCGTTTTTAACATGCCAGGTTGTTTTGTGTTCTGTACCAGATTTTCTTCACAAAACCTTTCTTTTTCAGGAGGCATTGTACATAAGTGAAAGAAATTACGTCTGAGCTGTAATCGCTCTTTATATTGATTGTTATACTCACATGATCATAAATATTAGCCATGTTTGGTGCTGTGGAGAAATGAAGGTAATTGCCTTATGATTAGAGCTCTTTCAGCTAGCAGAGGATTGATTAGCATTTATACAGTGGAGGCAATATAGAGAGGGCCGGAGGAACAAATAGCAGCAGCAGTTATTTGTGTGAGAAAGCAATCTCGAAATGTCATTTTAAGATTTTTTTTTTGTTTTTTGAAGAAAATTTCTTTTCTGTGGTCAGATTTCCTTTTGTCTGTTTTCTTTTTTCTTTTTTTCTTTTTCTTTTTCTTTTTCTTTTTTTTTTTTTGTTCCCTTAATTTTTCTTATAAGTTTTGAGATATACCAGGAAAAAAAAAAAAGTTTGAACTTGTGGGTCCTGTCACGTGGATATTTTAGCCTTTTCTGAACGGGTCCCCTTCACACCTGGCTGTTTTTATAGCTATTTTATTATCTTTCTGTATTAGTGCTGCTGGCTCTGGTTTAAAGCAAGCGTTTGCAGGTAATTGGGGAAAAAAGTGTTCTTGCTGTTTGTGAGTGTGTGTTCTCTATCGGGTGATTCATTGCGTCTACCAAGGAATGTGGCTTTATACTTCCCTCTTGTTTCCTTGTTTACTAATTTCTGCATCAGAACAAAAATCTGGATGGAATTGTTGGTTTATGTTGTGAATCATGAATCGATTGATGTAAAACCTTAACGGTCAGAGCTCTTGTGACTACATAGATATATGCTTTGGAGATTATTTTGTTTTCTTCATTCACTCCTGGTTTTTGTTTATTACTGTCCTTAACAGCAATGACACCTTTAGAATATCTTGCTTATATTGAGATAAATTTCACGTGGATTCTGTCATTTTCAAGCACTTGAATGTACAGATGCTTTAATATCTGCCACTCTAATAATTAGGCCTTACAATAGAGACTTAGGTTAACGATGTATTTCATCCAACATGATAGTGGCTTTTTTGTTTTCTTTCCTTCTAATTCTTCTTCTTCTTCTTCTTCATTGATGACTGTTAACTTTTAGTTTTACTTTGTTAGTTTTATTTTATTATAATTATTCAAGATGTATGTATTTATACCCCTTATTGTAAAGGTATGGGTATGTCTGTTTGGGTTATTATTTTCCTTACTTGAATTGTTTTCCTCCTTGGTTTCTGGTTTACAGGCCATCGAAGACGGCAATTTGGAAGAAATGGAAGAGGAAGTTCGGCTCAAGAAGAGAAAAAGACGAAGAAATGTGGATAAAGATCCTGTGAAGGAAGACGTGGAAAAGGCCAAGAAGAGAAGAGGCCGCCCTCCAGCCGAGAAACTGTCGCCAAATCCCCCAAAACTGACGAAGCAGATGAACGCCATCATCGATACTGTGATAAACTACAAAGATAGGTGAGTGTGTGGCTCCTGCCCCTCTGCCAAGCCCATGAGTGGTAAGAACTATAGGGCTCTTTCTAATCTGCATCTTATGGCTTTGTCCTGGAAGGTGTGAGTTGCCTTGCACCTTGCAAAATGGCCGCTAAGGCTATTTTGTACGGCGTGTATTGTTTGAGATGGTGGGCAATGAGATCAGACGACTTCTTAAAGAACTCTAAGCTGGAAAAGGATTCTTCCGGAGCTCTGCTGAGAGAAGCATTGGGATGATGGGATGGAAAAAAATTTTTTAAAGTTGACTCCAGAGGAGAAAAAAAAAAAAAAAAAAAAAAAAGAATTGCAGATGCATGTAAGGTAAATCTTTTATGTTAATAAAGGCTGTGTTTCCAGAGAAAGAGAGAGACCTCCAAAAAATTGTGCTTCTCTCCTTCTAATGCTTGAGTTTTTGAGCATTCTGTGAGCCATCTTCTCTCTTGTATTACCACTGTAGGTACTCAGAGGGGTATACTGTTCAGCAAACTCACTCATTCTTCATGGACTTTTTAGGTGTGCCCCATAAGAAGGCTGTGCTGGACACAGGCAAGACCACTTTAAACAATGAATTTAACTATTTGGAAACTGAGGCAAAGGCAATTCATATGTCAGTCAACTCTATACAAGTTAACTAATTAGGCCCCAATGAAGTTAGTTGACTTTGGTTATTTGTTGTGATTTTCTTCGAAGCAGTGGTATGTCCCCTTCCTTTGAAAGCTGACTCTTGTTTCCATCGGAAGCAGACATTTCTGCTCTCTCAGTTTCCAGATCAGAGAAATCAATTGTTAGAGACCTTCAGTTTTCACCAGGAATGCCTGCTGTTCCTTTCACCCACTGAGTGGCCCCGCCTTGGGTTTTTCCTGGTAGCTTTGATCTATTGCGTGGCAGGCAGGAAGAAGTGGCTAGAAAGATTAAGTAGCATGAAAAGTTTTAAAAAACAAAAACAAAAACAAAAACAAAACAACTTTCCACCAGGAGTTTCGCTCATAAGCTTTCTGACCATGTGGCATTTCCATCAGTGATGGGGACAGGGGCAGACAGGTCCACTGAGGGGTCAGAACTTATTGTTCCTCTCAACCCATCAAGCCTCGTAGCTCCTGTATTTTCTAGATTCAGTATTTTCTTTTTGAAGGGGGGTACATCTTTTTACATATTCTAAAGTGGCCGCAAAGGGCAGCCCCCATCTTCTTGAGTTTGAATCAACTGCTCATTGACAATCCAGTGGGAAAATTTGACCAGGAGTAAACACGATTTTTCTTTTTCTTTCTTTTTTTTTTTTTCAAACCAAGAATTAGTAACTCTGAAGTTTCTGTTCACCCCAAGTTTATACTTCATATCAACTTCCGCTGTGAGGAAATTGCAACTAAGTAGGGAATACTGCTCTGCACAGACAGACCTCTCACTTTTTTTTTTTTTTTTTTTTTTTTTTTTTTTTTGCTGTTGTCAGGAGAGCGTAACATCTGTTTCTCTGACCAGATGTGCTTGGGTCTTTGACAGACCTTTGATGATCATATTGCTTCCTGATTCAACCTGGGTCTGCTGGATCACTGAGAAGGGCTGAGAAAGTCCTTGGAGGTTTAAAGGCTGAGCCATTGAATAGTGGCTGTTGATTCTGTCTGCTTTAATCCCCTACTGGGTCATCACCTAGTGGGGGCTCATGTATCCAATAGATTGTTTTGTTTGGCTCTGTGTTGTTAGGGAGGCAGATTTATAAAGCTTCTGTTTCTTGACATTGCCCCCTTTGGAAAAACTTAAAAATATGACAGCATTCTGCCTGACTTTCAAAGGGGGAGGGGGGAGCTCAGCAGAAGGGAAGAAATGGCTGCTTTCTTCACCTGGTGGTCACAGGTGGTCTCATCTGTCACCATCCCTACCACCACTATGGAATCTTAGTTGCCTGTTGCTGACAGACTTTGCATAGCTCGTTTACATTACCTGGTGGCTGCAATTGTGACATCCCTGGTATACATGACTACAACAGACTCCCTCAGAGCCCATTCCCAAATACAGATCTGTGAACGGAAAACAGCCTGGGGCTCACAGCACAAACTCCTTGAGCCTCAGCTGCCTCCATTTAAATCTTGACTCTGGCATCACTTAGCTGGGGGACGCTTTAACTCCCCTGATCCTCAGTTTCCCAGTGCACACAGGAGAACAATTCCTCCCCCAGCCTGTAGCTTTGTTGTCCTGGGCAGTTCATATAACCCCAGATTCCTTGAATAGTTTAGGGATTAATAATCAAACTTTCAGACTGTACAGTTTATCCGGCAGGTGAAAGACCTCTGAGCACTGTGAAGAACATGTCCTTGCTGATAGCGGTTTCCATGGTTTTAATTCCAGAAACAGAAAATGCTGTTTCACCGGAACTGACTATTGAGCACGTCTTTAGCCACACTGTAGGCAAAGGGTATCTAAATGTTTCAGCATGTGGATATTCTGTGGTCCTTCCTCTTTTTCCGGCTGGATTTATTTACTTGCTTATTGAGTTCTCCTTTAAAAGTGCCTTCCTAAGATTCATTTTGCTAGCCCCTGCATTTTTAGGTACTTTCTGGAGATCACATGCTACTTTTCCCACCACTGCATGTTCCATGTATATTTCATGTTAGCGGTCCTCTAGAAAAAGCAACTGACGCTATTTATATTTTGTATTTCTCTTACCAAACTTGGTTCTCAAGTAGGAGGCGCTCAAATTAGGAGGGCCCTAATTAGATACAGTGCTGTATTTTTGGTTCATTTTAGAAAAAAACGCTACTGGAGAAAAAAAAAAGTACATCCTTGCTGTGTTGAGGTTCTCCAGCACTGGAGTCAGTTACTGATACAGTAAGTCAGCCCACCTCAAGGAGAGATGCCACCTGTGCTAAACTCCATCTAGTGTTAGGGTTCTGATAGGCAATAAATTGAGTGTGGAGACATCTATCTCTATTTAAGAGATACCGAAGAATTAATTAGATCTCAAGAGCAGTTGTTTAAAAGTCCTTGCATGATTCTGGGACAGATGTGGCTTGATATTTCCATAAAGACTTGAGATAATTTAAGTGTCTACTTATTGCTTTGTATTTTAAAGCATGATGGTTTAAAAAAAAAAAAAAAAAGAGCCATCCGCTTTGTGTGGTTCACAAATGGATGACTGTTAGGTAGAGCAAAGTTGTGGCTACTATGGCTACTAGCTACCTTTCATGCTATTTCTCCCAAATAGAAAACAATTATCTCAAGTCCTACTGAAGGCCTTGTTTTGACTTGGTGAGCATACTTTGTCTTCTGCTTGTTTTGAAGCCTCTAATTCCCATCGCACCTCCTATAATATTTAACCTGTCACACTCTTGTTTCTTTGGAAAGGATTCCTCTTCTATTGCTCCTGTATCTGTTAAAATCCCCAAAAGATGCCATGGGGAATAAGGAGGTGACTGATCTAGAGGCGCTCTTCCAAGTCTCAGGAAACAGCCTCCAGTTTGCGTGATGACGGATTGGTTCCTAGGGACAGCCTTGGAGTTCTGGACTTTGGTTCTGCTTGGTCTGGTTTCCAGTGACTCGAATGCAGCAGCACTGGTGACAGAAAATCCTCTAGCCTACAGATACAGATCCCACATGGGACACAGTTTCTGGGGGAACTTGTTGACTCTTGATGCAGGACTGCCTTAGGCATGGTGCTCCTTTCCATGTTAAAATTCTGCCCACTGAGTTTTAGCTATTTATTCTACAAACTCTTTAGAGATGAACCCAGTCTCCTTTCAAAAGATGTCCCTTTAAAATGGTTACAAATTGGCCTACCCAGCCCAGGTCCCCAACCTTCAGGTAGAAACATTCCACTTCATTTGCTGATTGACACTTAGGTCCCTCCTTAGGTACATTCTACTCTTGCATTGCTCCACTTGAAACATGCACCCAAGAGTCCCCACTGTGCTCTGAGAGCATGGGTCAGCATGCTAGAGAGTGGTTTTTTTTTTTTTTTTTTTTTAGCATCCTTGACACAGAGCCAGCTGATGTTGGGTAGGTGACACAAACACCATACATGCCTTTTCTCCAAAACTGCTACTTTTAGCCTTGAGCTAAATAAGGGTCACTGTTGTTGAACTGTTACATACTGAGTTCCCTCACTCAGTGTAGTGCCCTCTCCCAAGTGTTTGTTCTTGTCATTAATGTTTATTTGTTTCTTATTCTTTAAGCAAGTATATTTTTCTTGTCTTCCTGAGGTTTTTGTTTCTGTTTTTTTTTTTGTTGTTGTTGTTGTTGTTGTTTTTGAAGCCTAAGATGTGACATAAACTATTGCTGAAGTGTTTGTAAAGGAACCAGGACAGGATTCTGTGACATGCCCTTGCCATCAGTGCAGGTTGATGTGAACATATTGACCCGTAATGTTTGAAGTTGGTCAAGTGCCATTGAACTCATGTGGCTAAGCTTTCCTGTCACCCACATTCATCTGTCCCGTCTCAAGGTTATCAAGAAAGACTAAAACCAAACACACGATGTTGGGAGCCTTTCCGGTCCATCAACCTAGAAACGCTGCTGAAAAAGGGAAGTGAGGTTGGCCTGCCTGCCATGGGTTTTTTTCAGAGACACCCCTGCTAGTACTTAGTGATATTATTTATCTTTGCTAAGTAGCCTCCGGGCCTTCAGCCCGAGTTCTCAACAAGGTCAGTCTATGGCTTCACTTCTCATTTCAAAACAGGGATACTTGCTGCTCTCCAACCTCCGTCTCCATTCCCACCATCTGTGATTTCCTATGTATCGTTAGCAGAAGCAATCCACACCCTTTCAGGGTGTGATTAGTTTGCAGCTAGCCACTTGCACTCTTTTGAAGCACCTTGATACATTCTTGGTTTTTTTTTTAATATTTTATTTACTTATTATTTTGTACAGTGTTCTACCTGCATTGCCTGCATGCCAGAAGGGGGTACCAGATCTCATTATAGATGGTTGTGAGCCACCATGTGGTTGCTGGGGATTGAACTCAAGACCGCTAGAAGAGCAGCCAGTGCTCTTAACCTCTGAGCCATCTCTCAGGCCCCCCTTGATATGTTCTTTAATATATATATATATATATATATATATATATATATATATATACACACACTTTTATCGGGAGCTTCTGCTGTTCTTATTACACCTTGATTTTCAAATCTGTGTTCTCATCCCTGAAGACTTTGCAAACAGTAGTGTATGGCGCGCACACATGGCAACCAGCACTGGGAGGCTGAGGCACAAGGATATTCACTTTGAGACCAGGCTGGGCAACATAATGAGACCCTGTCTCAAGCAAATAAACAGTAATGATAACAAAAAAGCAAGCCAAAATATTTCTAAGAATCTAGAAGCAGGATATATATTTATACACTGATTTCTCTGTTCACTATATTTGTGATTTGAAGATGAATGACTTGAAGGTGCATTCCATGAGACCTGCCATCTGCATAGGGTGTGGACCTTAGGGGCAACTCAGAAGATGACATGAAGCAGTTCGAAAGGTAGAAGGGAGGTTCTGCTTGGCTAGTCTGATCCGAGGCTATGGTGCTACCAAATAGTGCAGGAGGCAAGGCAGGATGGCAGCTATGTATCTCCTACCTCCCTGGATGTGCACCCCACCCCCTTCCAGTTTTAATAAGCTCTTCGTGATAAACTGACCGATGGCATGGGTCTCCACTTTAGTACTTTTGGCAGTGGGGAAATCATCTCCCCATCCCTGGAAATGTTCCCTGGGCTGTTTTCAACTCCAGCTATGGACTGCTCAGACCAGCCACAGGGTCCTCATCCCAGATCCCTCCCTCCATGACCTCCTCTGCTCTGCCCCATGTAGGGAAGACTCTGAGTGAGTGAGTGAGTGTGTGTGTGTATGTGTGTGTGTGTGTGCTGCTGATGCAAAATGGTGAAGGCGGGGTCAGGAGAGCCCCACCACACCAGTGCACTGAGGTTTGCTTTTATTTTTTTGAGCAAAACCATCATCATAATGACAATTTTCTGAAAATAAAATAAAAAAGCAGGCAGTATTTCTTTATATCATCTTAACACTTTTTAAAGAATATGGTGTGAGCTAAACCCAATCACAATTGTCTTCGTTTAAACCCTACATACACTAAAATCTATTTTGTCATGTCCCTTATTTCAAGTTGGGCCCAGCCACCATTTGTGTAGACTCACATTTAACCAGTCTGTTCTCCAGAAGGGCCAGGCTCTTGTTCAGACCTGTTGCTTCCTTTCAAGCTTTTCTCTCCCAGGGGTGTGCCCCAGGTCTCCTGTTAACAGCTTGGAGGCTTCTATCCAGGGGAAGGCACACACCAAGGCTCACACTACAGTGTTTACTGCCTTTCGAAACAGACTTAAACATCTGCAAACCCAAAACCTTGGGTTCAGCATCCATTGTGGATTGCACTCTTATATTTTTTCCCCCAAGCCATTCAGATTCCTGACCTACATCACAATGACTGGAATTTGTTCTATTAGAATTTCCTTTGTTTAGTACCTGGCCCCTCTGTTAGATTGCAGCCTCTGTTGGTCTCTGGTCACAGAACAGGGTCTGACTTTTCTTGGAATCTTTTACAGTATATTTTACAAAATGTCCAGATGGTGTTTGTCTTTCCTAGGTTCCTCTCCCACTGCTGCTGGACCTTCTAAACAGACTCCAGTCTGCTTTAGCTTCTGTGTCAATGTCATCAGCCCTAGGCCCCAAATATGAAACAATAGTAGAGTCCCCTTTCCAAACCTCACTTGTAACACTCAGATACAAAGTACTCTCCAGACACAGTGTCTCCAAGGCAAGTGTCCTCATCTTCACACACTGTCTCCATGGATGCCCTGGCCTGGAACAGCAGCCTCTTGTGTGGGAGGCCAGCCTCTCCTGTCTTACTGTCTTGCCTTCTTCCTGAGGCATATATCTAATCATGTCTTCCTGTTCTTTAAGAGCTTCCAGACTTCTGGCCTTGGGAAAGTAGGTTTCCATGTTCTGAACCTAGCAACCTTAGTTTTGTTTTCTAGCGTGGCCCTCCCTGTCCTCACTTGGACTTTAGGCATTCTGGTTAATGCTGTCTATTTGGAGTTTTGCATGTTCTTTCACGCCTCTGCTGTGTGGTATAAGCTGACCCTGTCCAGTTGCCTCCTACTCTGGGTGGAGCAAACAGGGTCCATGCTGCAGTGGGCTAGTGTGGGTTTGCCACGGGAGACAGCTGGTTTGGTCTAGAGACTAACCTGATGGGATGGAGGGCTTCCCACGGTGTTACCCACCTGATCACCCTGCCTCCGCCCTCACACAGAAGGCCGCCTGTGTGTCAGTGTCAAAACGGTCAGATAACCCTCAGGTAGTGGCTCAGCTTCATTCGCAGTCAAGAGCACTTGTCCAGTGGTCTGTAGAAATCAAGAGAAGGTAAAAGGAGCGTCTAGTTTGTGACCAGAATCCAGGCTGCTGCGTGGAATCCACTCATGTGGTGGGTGCTGTGACAAAACCGCTTTATCTAGTTCATAGTCAGGAGTTGTGTTGGTAAGTATGATCCCTATTATGCAAATGAGAGGCCAGACGAGACTAACGCACCCCAAACAAGGCTCCTCGTTCTCCACTGCTTTTGGAATTACAAATAGGATACCCGGTGTGGATGAAGATGGAATACGGGACCAGGTTGACAATGCCGAAAGTGCCCTAAGATGTTAGGAGGCTATGCCCCAACCCCCATCATTTTGGAGAAATGTGTACCATTGCAGAATGATACCTTGTGTGATCTGCTCAACCAGGCTGACTCCCAGTGAAATTAATTGCTCCAGGTAACCCAGCCTGAGAGGAAGGAGCTGGGAGGAGGACCCAGGTCTTCTGACTCTAGTGTTCTTTTTACTCTGCCGCAGGTGTAACGTGGAGAAGGTGCCCTGTAATTCTCAGTTGGAAATAGAAGGAAACAGGTCAGGACCTGCCTTGTATCCCCATGTCTCTAAACACAGGTATCCTCTGGTACACAAAGCAAGCGGATGCATAGAGTTGGTCTTTGGAAACGGATTGATCTAGTCGCCTCTCCTTGGCGTGGGGGTTGCAGGCACATATACTCTTAAATACCTGCTGTGCTTTTGAGGTGGTTGTGCAGGGTGCTCGCCTGCAAGAGCCCACCTGCACGTGCATGTCTTACAAAGGTGGCAGGGATCATCTGGAAGCCTGCCCAGCCTGCAGCACCTCAGAGGTAGGTCTCTGCCTCCTCTGCCCTCTTCAGTCCTACCTTGTAACTCTGTGCTGCCCAGGTGTGGCAGTTTCCAAGCACTGGAGGAGACCTGATGTGTGTGGCATGAAGTTGAGTGCATGTTCACACTGCTGTGCATCCCGGACTTGATTGCAGTCGGCATGGGGGTTGGAGGGGCAGGCGCTTCTTGCATTTACTCCCCTGAGTTGTGCGCTGGGCTGGATTTCAGAGTGTGACCTTTGAGCCTCCTATCGTGGTGGGCCCTAAGCTTCCTCAGCCAATCTGTGTAACTTTCGTGTGCCTCTGTGTCTGGTGGCTGGGAATCAGAAGTGCTCTTTCCCTAAAGACGCTAGCTTTCGATGGTGTGGGTTGGTGGGAGATGGATGGGTGTGATGCGCAGTTAAGAGTTATCAGTACATTTAGTGAGGTATTTGCCTTCCTTTTGACCAAGCTGGCTTGCTCAGATTATTGCTGTAGTGCTGTGTCTCCTGCCTTACAGTTTTGTCAAATGATCCAGTAATGTTGCCTGCACCCTAACCCTAACGCAATCAATGCAGGATCTAATCTAGGGCCAAAAGGAAGAGAACTGTGGTTGTAGCCTGTATTTCAGAAGGAACAGGTCCTAATCTATGACCTTTTAAAATAAGGACTTAAACACACAGTCTGTAGAGACAAATGTGGGGCAAAATTGTTGGTTCTCAGCAAGCAGTGTCCAGTCCTAGAAAGCACACATACCACAGTGCCTGGCAAGCACTGCTAGCTCTGCTCTGTTTCTGTCATCGGGAGAAAGGAAGGATTCACGAGGCCTTGAACCAACACTGTGTTCATCAGATTGGGCTGCTTTCATAATAGTGTGATTTTAGTGTACCTAAAAGGGGCAAAGTGGGGGTTAAACCCCGCCTCCAGAGCAGGCAACTGTCTGAGTTCCCTTTGCTCCTCCCCCACTCCTCCATCTAAGCAGTCACGTGACCATGAAAAGTGGATTAATGACTTTAAAGGCTACTGCAAACCCCTGATGTCATGCCTGGGCTTTCTGAGGGTAGAGAACATAACCTTATGCAGTTAGGACCGCGATAAATCCATTTTCACTACACATCTAAAGGGCCATTTCCAGAGGTTAGAAGAAGCTTGGCTGGCTTGCTTCCATGGGGGACCCTTTGGAGCTGGTGTCCTCCCATACTGTCTGTCCCATGTGCCCGAGCTAATTGTGTGGCATTTGGAGTTGTATTGCGATAAAATTAACCCTTCTTTAGAGCAGTTGCTCAAAAATCCTTTTTGATCAAAAGCCCAAGGTTTTCCGTGTTAGTCTTTGTGTAAGTATTGAAAATGGGGATGGGGGAGGGGAGAGAGAGAAGGAGAAATAAAATAGATTGCCTTACAGCACTGCTAGGAGGGGTTATGCCAGTAAGTAGTCCAGACTCCTGGTGTGAGTAAGGTGGGCTCCTTGGTGTGACTGGGAACGCCCCCATGTGGCTTGTGGGTAGCACCAGGACTTGGTTGGAGTGAGCATGAGGGGTTAGAGTGTGCAAACCAAAGTACTCAGTAGTGTGGGTGTGAGCAGCTATGGAAGGAGGTGTGGGAAGCAGGCTGCTTCTAGAGACCACATGTCCCTGGGCAGCTAGACGTCCCCTGGAAAGGAGGAGCAGCCAGCTCGGTGGGGAGCAGCAGAGCAGACCCAGAACTCCAAAGTGAAGAACTTGAGTGTGGTCTTCAAGAGCTCAGGTCTCCAAGGCAGCTTCCATGCCCTTGCAGTTGACTGTCCCATGTCCCATGTTGAGGACGCAGATGAGGGCATCTGGGTTCTTGCCGAGAGGGTGCAGTGGTCGGTGTGTGCTGTGTGCTGTGAGGTGGATGCTGCCCACGGTGGGGCCTGGCTATGCTGTGACTTCAGCAGACTGGGTCCGATGTCAGAGCCTCGGAACTCTTAGTTCTGCTTCCTGCGTGGTGAATGAAGGTTCTGTGCCATTTATAGGAATGTAGGTGAAAGGAAAGTGGAGTATACATGTGGCAGTGTGTATACATACTTCTGCATAAGTGTGTGTGTGTGTGTGTGTGTGTGTGTGTGTGTGTGTGTTTAGTGACCCAGCCCCACAGACTCCACAACAGGACACTTAAGTCCTCTCCATGGCTGTTAACGGCCCTTAATGTCATGGTTATATCATTAGTATTGACTGCTCTTTAAGAACCAGCCAACAAATTCTTTTAGACACAACCTATTTTTAGCAGCCTTGGCGTTGGGCATTCTACATTACTTTAAATGGAGGAGGAAAGGCTGCTAGAATGGTTGTGGTGCCCAGACATCTTTGCATTTAGAGGCTCTAATTGGATTCCAGAATTGCCATGAAACAGCACCATGACTAGGTGGATGCATTTAGGCCAAATTCAAGTTCTAAGGTGCTGAGAAGTTCCTCATTCTCTTACTGGCTCCTTTGGCCCTCACACAGTGCTGCCAGTTTGTCTCATGGACTGGCCCGTGAGGTCATAGCTTGGCGTTTAGTCTGAGAAAATGTCTCCTAGAGCAGGACTTGCAACTCTCGTCTTCTAGCTCTCTTAGAGATACACAGTCCAGCTACAGAATTGGGCTGTGGGAGATATTGCTGTCACCTGTGACATCAACAATCTGATTTTCCTTAGCCTGGTGTTCCCAAACTCATTTGTTCAGTGACCCGTCTTCCAGGCCCTATAAGTTGGTGTGCTGTGGCACGCTGTCAGCAAGGCTGAGTTAGAGCTCTGATGCGTCATTTAGAAGGTGTGCAGGTAAATGTGGCCTCTGGTGTCTTACTTCACCCTCATCTCAAATACCGCTGACGCCAGTGTTGCTGGGGCAGGCTAATGTGCCCCCCCACCCTGTGATGTGATACTTAAAGTACTCACCTAGTTAAACCCATATGCAAAAGATGGGTAGACAAAGACACTTAGTCCATCTGCCTTCTGAGGCATAGAAGTTTCCTGCCTGGCTGTGCTTTGTTTTGTTGTTTGTAAAAGTGGCATAAGCTAGGGTCATCTGAGAAGAAGGAACCTTGATTGAGAAAATGCCTCCATAAAAATAGGCTTGTAAATGGGAGGTATGGTGGCACACACCTTTGATCTCATTGATCCCAGCACTTGGGAGCAGAGACAAGTGGATCTCTGTGAGTTAGAGGCTAATCTGGTCTACAGAGCAAGTGCTGGGGGAGGCTGCAAAGCTACACAGAGAAACCCTGTCTGGAAAAAACCAAAAAAAAAAAAAAACTTGTAGGCAAGCCTGTGGGATATTTCCTTGATTGATGATTGGTGTGGGTGTGCCCAGCTTATAGTCCTGGAGTGTGTAAGAAAAGCAGGCTCAGTGGTGGCACACGCCTCTATTCCCAGCACTCAGGAGGCAGAGACAGGCAGATCTCTGTGAGACTGAGGCCAGCCTGGTGTACAGAGCAATTTCTAGAACAGGCAAGACACAGAGAAACCCTGTCTCAAACAAAGCAAAACAAAAACAAACCAACACAACAGCAGAGAGAGAGTGAGTGGGGAGAGAAGGAGGGAAGGAAGGAAAGAAGGAAGGAGGCTGAATAAGCCAGTAAGTAGTATTTCCCCATGGCCTCTGTTTCAGTAACTGCCCTGGCTTCCCTGGGTGATGGAAGGTCACCTGAGAGGTGCAGGTAAGAAGAAAGAAACCCTTTGCTTCCCATTGGTGCATGGTGCTCTAGTACAGCAACAGAAAGCAAATGAAGACCACAGGTCTCCCCTAGCCTTGAGCATTACTCTGGACCCACAGGCCTTCCCTTCCTCGAAGGCTCCAGGCCAACACCTACATGAATGACCCCTCAGGAAGAGGAAGTAACCCTCACTGGAAATAGCAGAATGTGTCCTTTTAGAGAGATAGCCACTGTCTTCAAACTTGATTCCATGAACATTTTCATCAAAAAAAAAAAAAAAAAAGGGTTGATATTGCAGATAGCAGATATTGAATAGATTTTCATGTACATGAACCATTTTGTGTTCATTGGATGGTTCTATCTCACTCCAGAGTTTACCAAAATGGCTACAGCAGGAAATGGCCCTCAGAGACCTGCTACAACCCACCCATTTAAACCAAGCAGCATCTGAGCCTTGGGCTACTTGGGTAGACAAACACTAGATTTTGCTTGTTTCTAGAAGGTTTGAGTCACAAATCAACCAAAAGTTTTAAAGCATGTTTATTTACCATACAGAAGTAAAGACATTATACAGGATCAAAGGGCAGAATGCCAGGAAGTTTTGAAAGGATGGCATCTCAGATTTCTAGGAGGAAATGTTAAAAGCAGCAGGAACTGGCAGGCTGGGGATGTGTCAGGCCAGGGAGGTGGCAGGCCAGACACAGGCAAGTGAGAATTCATACCTTTTCTTTTTATTATGAAATGTCAAGTGAGGGAAAAATATGTGTAGGAAACTAGATGGCCTCTGTCAGTATTTCTAAAAGTCAAGTGATAGGTGGTAAATCTACTTTAAAAAAAAAAAAAAAAAAAGGCTCAAGATGCCTGACAAGAAAATACAGGAGCCAGACAGAGTGGCCCATGCCTGTAGTTCCCAGGAGGCTGGTGCAGGAGGATTGAGAGGCGAGCCATCAGAAATATAAAATGAAGAAAGAAAATATTTGGAAGCAAATGTCCTTTTCCAAGTGTCTCTGGCAGTGACAGATACTCTAAGTACAATAGATTCTTACAGTTGCAGTATCTGAGGTAAATTTGTCATGTAATTATTCTGTTTATTCATTTTTCTTTATTGGTCAGTAAAGTGTGCTGCTCATTTGATAGA